AGGGACAATTTTTAAACGTCACCGCTTCTGCATGAGGGTGGTGAATAGGGCTATGCAAATCCGCTAATTCGTGCCTTTTTTCTGCCAAATCCGTTGATCCGCCAATATTATTGCTCAAATCCGAAGCCACAATCACATCCGGAAACAGAAGTGTAAAAGTTCAAAAGTAAACTGGTAAATGTGAATGCCATTGTTAATTTCGCACAAATAGTAAAGAAAGCAGCATACTTGATGGTTATAACATAGTACAATTCCAACAACAGTCTCACATCTCAGTCTAAATAAGCTTTGTTCGAAAAGAAAAATAATTTGGATGAACTCATTAACATACCGACCAAGGCTGAAGAAAGATATATGATCCAAATTTCGTTTAGGACCCAAGATCCGAACATCAAGACAGGCACAATCCGGAATCCGCGCATAATTTACAGCTAATCCACGATCCACTGTGTCCAACACCGGAAGTCCACAATTCACGGTGCTTGCTGCTTGCAAGACCAATTTGATCACAGCTCGTGCCGGCAAAAATAAACGCACAGCTCGCATGCTCGCAAATGCTCACAAAGATCACTCGATACCCCTTTATCTAACAATAGGCAAGTTTTGAATAAATTATTGTCAAAATAAAGTGTACAGTGGCCTCTGACAAAATCACTTTGGGTGCCAAAAATGCATCAGAGAGGGTCATCAGAATGCACCTCAAGGCACACAGATTTTCAAAATTCTCCGCAGGTGGCATCCCGCCCGTCCAGGAGGGGGTAATAAATTCTTCATAAAACAAAGCGTACAGTGGCCTCCAATGAAGTCACTTTGGTGCCAAAAATGCATCAGAATGCACCTCAGGGCACACAGGTTTTCAAATTTTCCGCAGGTGGCACCCCGTCTGTCCAGAAGGGGGTAACCCACTCCGAAACTATTCACCTTGTGGCTGCCTTTATCATGCCCCAATAGTGTCCGCCTAAAACACTATTTCCTCCTGCAACTTTATTTCAATAATTTGAAAACCCTTGTTAAGTTCATGTCAGTCACTCTGTGTTCAGTAACATAGCTGAGACCCATTTCAACTAGCATTGACAAAACACAGCCCTCTAAAATTGTCAGGAATATTTCTTCATTTAAATTTTGTAATCACCTTGAAGATAATATAATTTGTCTTCAACAAGCACAGTACGACTCTCCATGGTCTGCTGACTATTCTCCAGTCTCTCTACCGTCCGGTTGACATCCCCTGCAAATAAACATACAGCTTACAAATTATGGTAAACCTGATACATTTACAGAACGACACATTTGCAGAGAAAAGTGAACTCTGATTACAATAAACCATGAAACCACATTGCTCCACTAAAAAACGTTTTTTGCAAGTTTACTAAGTTAATTTGTGTAAACTGGTTCAAGAACACGAAAGGATGATTTCAAGTTTGCCACTGTTCTTGTCATTTAACATCTGTAAACAATTACAGTGAGGACACTCGAACCATGAACACCTGGACTTTTTTGGTGCATTTATTTCATCATTACCCAATGAGAGCTCTTCATTTAGACAAAAGCATTAGCGTTTTTTAGGCGCTGTCCAATCACATCGCTGGCGGGAAAACACAATGTTAGTTTTTTTCATGGCGGAGTCTCGACTATAATATTTTGAACGTAATATGGCCTACGCGCCGGCTAATTATGGTGGTAAGTACAATTTTTATCGCTAACTTCATCTGTCAATTTTTGATGAGACTCACTTTTTTAATCCTTGTTCGGCGAACGTGAGTGCAAACTCACTCTCAATAGACAGCAAGGGATATACAACAATGGTAAATTTCTGCCACAAGTTTATCGGGAAACAGTGCTTGATCTACACCATCAAGGGTTTTCGCAAAGACAAATTTCACAAAATGTGCGAGTTAGCCTCGGATATGTAAATAAAGTTGTTCAATTTTATGAAGAGAGCAACTCATCTCTGGCTGGGCCACGGAAAACACCGGTTCGAAATAAGATGTCTGCAGATGTTGTCGAATATGTGGAGTCAGAGAAATTATGTCAACCAAGTATGTACGCAAGTGAGCTTCAAAAGCGTTTGCTATTAGATGGAATTTCTCCCCATGGTCATTTGCCATCACAGTCTGCAATAAAAAGTGCATCCGGGAGGACTGCAGAATGACAAAGAAAAAGGTTTCCCAAGTACCCAAAGAATCGTTGTCGCAAGCAAATACGGAATACACAGATTGTTTTCTTGACCAAATTGGACAACGTGACTATACGAAACTTCATTTTTTTGACGAATGTAGTGTAATTGTAACGTCAGGAAATCGAGTCGGAGTCTATGGCAATTCCCATGTCGGCGAACCTGCAATAGTAATTCAGCGCTACGCCTCAAACGCAAATAACACGCTGAACTTACTTCATTCCGTAAACGGAGTAGATTACTTTGACGTTTTGAGAGGCCCATCTAATGGTATGGCGCTGATTAATTTCTTCAATGAAGCTCTTTCAGTAAATAGGGTTGATGGTTCAACAATTCTCGAGAATGGCAATGTTGTCATTATGGACAACTGCAGATTTCACCACGGACAATTTGCGGAGGCCGTGTTACGAGATATACTTCAAGAACATGGCGTTGATCTCATTTTCCAGCCCGTTTACTCGTCCCACTTGAACACTTGCGAATTCTGTTTTCACCAAATAAAGTGCTACCTCAAACAAAACACATCTTTGACTGCGAATGAAACTGAAATAGCGATACGCGAAGCTGTATCGAAAATAACTCCTGCAAATTCAATTTCATACTTTCGAAACTGCGGCTACGTCTGATTGACAGTTGTTGTTCCATTTATGTCTACTGCTATTTTTATCTCAGCCGTGAGAACAAATTTAATTCGCTCATGCTGCTAAAAAGTATAAATTGTCTTCATTGACAAGCACGTAATATTGAATACAAAACTTTTTAGTGGATAGATACTGTAAAACTTCTACTGTGAAATTGTTACTTTAGAACAAGGGTTAAACTTAAACAATCATTTGTAAATCAGTGCAAGAATATCTGCACTTGTAAATTATGTCATTTGAAGTCGAAATAAAACTGAATACACGCAACGAAAATTAAAACACAACATAAACAAATTAACAGTGCAGTGTGCTGTAGAATAAAAGGAGAAATTAATTCTGTGGGACGTAAAAGAACCCACACACTAATCGAAAAGAGTAGGGGACGTAGTTCCCGGTGTGGTGGTCTATCTG